ACATTATTCTTTTAAGACCTGATCTCAACTGTAGGAAACAACTCAAAGAGAAAAACATTTTTTCTACATGATTGTAATATTTGATCATACCTTTATTTATACTTTCTCTTAATTTTGAGAGGATTGCCTATCTTTCATGTTCTAAACTGGATGTATCATTTCTTGGATGAGGAGTCTATCTTATGAAACTTCTAGCATTGATGGCTGGGTATTATCACTACTATGAGAACCAAGGGACAAGAAAAAGGGAGGGAGTTGTTTGTATCATGATATGTTGCATGCTGTTCATAGCAATATGCTTGACAAATTAGGGGACAGACTTGTCAGTCCAGTAAGACTTAGGCTTGATGCAACACTGCACTTTGCGTATCCTTATTTCAATGGGTTCTACCTTAACAAATAGAGGACTGCAGGTGGTGCAGTGGTTTAAACTGCTGTGCTGCTGGACTGGTTGATCAAAAGGTCTCTGGTTCAAATTTGCACGACGGAGTGAGTTCCTCTTGCTCTGTCCCAGCTCCTGCCAACCTTGCAGTTCAAAAGCATGCAAATGCAAGTAGGAAAAAAGGTACCACTTCGCTGGGCAGGTAACAGCGTTCCATGCACTTCGGTGTTAATCATGCAAGCACATGACCACGGAGACTGTCTGCGGACAAATGCAAGCTCCCTCGGCTAGGAAACAGAGATGAGCACCACCCCCTAGAGTCATGCATGACTGGACTTAATGTCAAGTGGAAACCTTAACCTTTTACCTTTACCTTAACAAATATATTTCTTGCGAATTGTTTAGTTGCTTTCAAGATGATTCTGAAATTGATATGAAATTCAAACCTATGAGAATGAAGTCATGCTCTCATAGGTGACACATCATTGTATGTATAATGGAGAAAATGGATGGGGACGTATGAACATCATACTTATGAAAAACCTGTACTTTGGAACATATGCCAGCATAAAGCCTATCTGAATATCTCTAGTGAAAAGCCATGATTATCACTAGGGAATTATGGAATGCATTTGACAATGCATCATCAGTGGTTGCATAGTTCCTAGAGATAATAATGGCTTTTCCCTAGAGGAAGAGATTCACTAGAGATATTCATGGCCTTTTTCTATGGTTTACACAGTGCCTCTGCAACAAGAATCACACATTTCCAACATTGCACTGGAGCAAAATCTAACAAATAAAATAAAAAGGTGTGGATTTGTGTTGGAGAAAACTTAGTGAACTTTGAAACCATTGTTCTCACTTTTTCCCCTTGTGGGATATCTATCTATCTATCTATCTATCTATCTATCTATCTATCTATCTATCTATCTTGAAATCCTTCTTCATATTGCATTAAAATTCTATCATCCTTTCTTCTGTTTCTGAAAACTTGAGGAATTACCAAGTGTCAACATAACATGCTATAATATTTTAGGACAAACTAAGGATTGTCAATAAGCAAGTCCTGATGGAGTTATTTGAAGGAAAGGGAAATGTTGCAGAGAGGACAGGAATCCTCCAAAGGAGTGGAAAGAGGGAGAAACTAAGGGAGGCAGCTTGTCATTCTATGAGGTGGGTCAGAAGGAGATGGCCAGAGGGTGTCTTTGGTCTCTGGGGCCACAGCACTGCAGCCTGAAAGGAATGTCATGTCCTCAGACTCCTGCACTGAGAACCACAGAGCTGTTGGGATTAGACCTCAAGGCATGCACCTGTGCATATCTGTCAGGATGGTGCTTGCCTGCTCAGCAATTATCCAAAGGACTATTATTTACCTTGATTTGCCTAAGGCAAAACAACATGGATTCAAATATAGGTGGTAAAATTCTGAGTGAATCTGAGTGTGATCATGATCCTCAAGAGCCCTTGAAGGAGAGTATAAATCTGACAATGAAGAAACTGGACAAAATCTGATGATGGAGAAACTGGTGAAGTCGATCGTCCACTGGGCCTGCTGAGGCTGTGGGGCAGGTGGAACATGAGCAGGCACATGCTGGACCACAGGGGGCTGCTCTTTGTCCTTCTGTGGCAGCTGCAGATCCCTCCTCTTGTGGGCGAGGGAACGAAAGGAGAATGCAGCCTCTATAGGAGCCTCCAGGACAATCTCTTCCAGCCCGGAGACATCATAATTGCTGGGATTCTCCCTATAATACACCCTCGGATTCTTTTGCCCAACTTCACACATTTTCCTGACAAGAGTCACGAAGCCCTTTTGTACGTAATGTTCTTTCTAGGCGATATACAATATATTCAGAGCTGCATAGGGGTGGAAGAGCTGCAGCTTCGGACATCATGTGATTGACATGAAATAAGCAAAGGAGAAGAAATTGGCCTGAAAATCCCACCATTTCTTAACAGTTAGGGTAAAATAAAAGCATGTGCCCACATGGTAGAGCTCATCTGGAAAAACTAGTATTAGCATTTAAATAACTTTACCATAAACATATACTCTCAGGGTGGGGGATCTTTTCACAAAACTACAAGATACTCACCCCCACATTAGAAATTATGGGTTTCTCTGTCTAGTAGAGCATTTAACCCATTCCTCTATTGCTTTAACCTATTTTTCTCACTTTACTGGGGTGAAAAAGTGCTTGGGGTTGTTCATGAGGGATCCTGGGGCATGAAGCATTAGCCTACTTCTTTTGTGCTCTCTTTTGTACCCAATTTTCCCCTCTAGAGAGTAAGGTTCTGGCCAAGACCCCAGTTATCCCAGGGTCAAATCTTTATATCAGCCTTTTAAGGCCAATAAAAGAAATGTTTGTCTGTAGCTGTGGCTAAAATTGTCAGATGAAAGATTGGATCAGAAAATTATGTGATTTCTTCCTCTTATTGGGCAAAAAACTAACCCCAGTTGAGTGTGGGAGATGGCTCAGCCATAAGGACTGTTGATCCTTAAAAGGATTCAGAATAAGAGCTTTTGTAATTTTAGACAATTGGTTAATTGGCATCAGTGTCAGTTGCTAACTCTGCCATTTTATTCTGTTATGTATGTCTCTGTTGTCCTTAAATTCAGTATGTATAGTTTTTGTATGTAAGTATGCAAAATCAACACAAATGAAAAGGTAGGTGGCAAAATTTTCATGGTAGAGAATGTTTCAATATCTGCATGTACGAGAAATTACTCAATCTGGGATTGATAAAGGGGATAATTAATGGGGAGATATAGCATTTAGTTCTTAGCAGGAACAAATAGGTTATACATTCATCTTCCTTGAAAGATGATCTCAATAAAGCAATCATTCTTGTAATTCTCTGTTCAAATTTCTGTAAAATACAATTCCTCTTTTCTTTGCATTTTACACACATATATGCATTACTAAATATGACTGTATTCATCTGTATCTTATCCCTTTTTCTCTTCTATAGACCCCCTCCTTTCAAGCTATTTGTACATGTCTAAGATTATCAGATTTTATCAAAGACCATCATATGATATGTACTTTTTAAATTAATTCCATCCCAAACTCAGATAATATATGAAGAGGACAAAGTAATTATGGTCAGATACAACTCATGCCAGATTGAGAATGTAATATTATGCCCATATCCTATCTTATTCAAAAGGTCTACTCTCACATGTATTAGCTATATAGTTTGCCTACTTCTATGCCAATTTTGACCTACCTGTGGCAGGCTGATAAGGTTGCAATGTTCAGGAGCTCATTCTCTTTGACTGTGGCACTATCTGCATGCATTATCACTAAAAAGCGTTTCTGAGTTTCAGTTTCAAACTTGTTGCAGAATGAATTCTGAAAGTTACCAGCATGTCCTAGCCTTGATTTTTGCCATCCAAGAGATCAATCATAAACCCACGCTGTTGCATAATCAGACTCTAGGGTTCCACATCTATGATGACCTCTTTGACTCAAAGATGACATATGAGATCCTTTTTGATCTGCTCTTCACACCCAGAGAAGACATACCCAATTACAAGTGTGATAGTAAAAATGTAGTGTCTGTAATTGGGGGATTTAATGTGGAAAATGCCATCCAAATAGCTGCTATATTAAAGAACTACAAGATTCCACAGGTATGTAAAGATTTCTGCTGCTCTTTCTTGCACAAATGCAGGTGCGGAATATGTAGGACTTGGGAAGAGCAAATATGTTTTATCATGTTGGTCTTGTCCTGGATTGCAATATGGATCAGCTTAACCTCCTCTTTTGATAGAAGAATTATTTTTGGTAGAGGGATTTGAACTATTCTAGTTTGTATCTGGTAGTATAGGTTTCCTAGTAGTGAGACCAGCTGCTCCATAAAGGAGCAAAGAACCAGGAAAACAGGAAGCATCTTTCCTAACCATGGAAAAGTGAGGGTGTATTTGCCTAAGTTTCTAGTAAGCCCAATTGTGAAAATGCACAACTTCTTCACTGGTTATGCAGTGACTCAGCTAAAGCTGAGATTCTTTGAAGATACTACATTTTCTAAGATTCTAACTTTCAGTCAAGATTCTAGAAGGTGACACAGGACACCTTTCCAGAAACTGATGTGAGAAGAGAGGGAAAAGGTGGAAATAGCAATTCATTTCAGGGGCCTTTCTTTGCATGGAGAACTTTAAAATGATAAGAATGATTCACCATCATACATTTTCACAACCATCTTAACAAAGGTATATATTATGTGAACAAGGTAAATATGTTCCTGGTGCAAGACACAATTCTTGTAAATCCATTACACTCTGAGGTGGATGCAGGAGGTAGATTTAGAGCATTCACTCAATGGTAGACCTCATCAGGTAGAGGTCTTTTGTGTTCAGAGCTCAACAGCTGTCATTGTTACTATCAGTACTAGAAAGCATGGCAGAACTTCTGTGCGACTTGCTTGACTAAAGGGAATTCCTTTGGCCTGTTCATATACTAGATGCATTAAAAATGTGTTGTAGAATTCAGTATGATGATATAGCTTTCATAGTGGTAATGAAATGTTATGATGTGCACTTTTAAATCAATATGAAAGACAGAGTGTGCCATTGCTTTCTTGCCACTCCACTGCCAATATTCAGCTTTCTCATTCAAGGCCCATGAGTCACTTAGAGAAGTTAAAGTGTGAGGGAGCATTTTGTCTCTACCCTCAACCAAGCAAAAAAAAAAAAAAGTCTAAAAATCTATTTTTTTCCTCATGTCTCAGCAAGCTTGAGTGAGTGTAACGCATACTGACCATTATTTTTGAAATAGTTTTTCTATTGAGGAATAAATTTAGAAATTGATAATCCTGCACTTGGAGACAGCCAGATCTTCCACTAAAACTAGTGTAACCCAACTACTTAACTCAGTTCTATTTTGTTTCTGGAGCAGAGGCATGCCCTCCTAGGGAAAGTAGCTGCCAATTTTTCTACACTGTTTTTGGGATGGGAAAAGAACATTGCTGCAATGAAACAATTAATCTGATGTTGCACTAATTCGATTGTTATGCAATTTTGGACTGTGACATTTCTTTCTTTCTTTTTTCTTGTGCCCCAATAAGATTAAGTGACCCTTATACTTGAATTATTTCATTCTATTGTGAACTAAAATCAGTATTTGAGAATGCTGTACTTGGGAAAACACAGAATGGTCAGAACATTTAAAATATGTTTTCTTGTAATAGTCCTGTAACAATATCCAAGGCAAGAGAAAAAAATGCACTAATACAAGAGGTACCTAACTACTTAAATCTATTCTAGTTTCTTTCTGGAGAAATTCACACGGCTAACCTCAGCCATGTTAGACAGTTACAAATCTGGAATGCTGATTGCTTGAATATTATCTTCTTCCTCACAAATCTCTCAATTCACTTTGTTGCACACATGAAGCTTTTGGATTTGTGCTCCCATATTCAGCATGGTTACAGGACCATGAGAGAATTCTTGTGATCCATAAGCTATGGCATGCACCCCTAGAGAAACCAACTGCCCATTTTACTACTCAGTTTTTGGCAAGAGGAATGAACATTGTTGCTATAAAGCAATTAATCTGATATTGCAGTAATTTCCTTGATATACTGTATATTTTTGGGCTGTGTCATGTCTCTTTCATGGCTGGATGCCTTGATTAATACTTTTTAAATATTGTGATTCAGAGAATTTTTTTTTACTGTTTTAATGTGGAATCATATAATATTAACTTTTTAAAAATCTAAAAAGGAATATTGGTATTGAAAGATACTAGAAGTCATCAATTTGCTTTAAAGAGTGGTTATCTCATCAAAATTAGTAATTCGTCTCTCTGCTTAGCTCTCTTTAGGTTCATTTGAAGCTACACTAAGTGGGAAACCTGTCTTCCACTTTTTATACAGGATGGCACCACAGGAAAGTACTCATCATATGGGGATTGTCCAGCTTCTTCTGCATTTCAGTTGGACATGGATAGGTCTTGTGTCTGACAAGCATGACGGAGAGAACTTTGTTCAGAGATTGATTCCGCTACTTGCCCAAAAAAGCATCTGTCTTGCTTTCTTGCAAAGGATCACTGGAGACCTCTTTGATCTAACTAGTTCTTCTGTCGAAAGTATCAGCAGACTAATTATAACACTATTTTCAACTGATGCCAATGTGGTTGTGCTGAATATGCGGTCTGACATAATCAATGTTTTCACATTAGCATTAGAGAATATGGAGCTAGACATAAAAACCCAAATCAGGAAAGTCTGGTTTATGCCATCCTCATGGTATTTCAGCACTTCAGAAGAGGGAGCACTGATTGGCAAAAACATTTTCCATGGTGCCTTTTCATTCTCAGTCTACACAAATAACGTGAGTGGATTCAAGCAACTGATTAATAAATTTACATCTGAGCAGAAACATTATTTGCATTTCTTCTGTTTGGTGTGGTTATTTGCATTCAATGGATGTGAAAACTGCAGAAGAGAGATGAAACTGGAGACCCTGAATTTGGCTTTCCATAAGATGGAGATGTCTGGTCAGAGCTACAATATCTACAATGCGGTCTATGCCGTGGCACATGCCTTACATGCTACATCCCTGTCCCGACAAAGAGCCATGTGGGATAAAAGCAGTTTGGAGCATTTGGGTGCTCAGCCATGGCAGGTAACAATATCATTCCAATGAACTTCAAACAAAAGATTAAATTAGATCATCTCAGTGGGCTGAACATATTTGGCCAAACACTCTGAGAGTATGTTCTAGATAAACTCTGTGAAATCCTAAGGTCAATAAATAGGTAAAAAATAACTGAGGATGTTGAAGTTGGATGTCATATTTCCTAGTGCAAAGTATCTTTGAAAATGTGATGGGTATATAAGTGGAAGGGTGCCTTGTACTCACATCCCGTTTAAGATCTCAAATGTCTGACACTTATAGATGACTGAATAATTGATGAAACAAGCATGTCGTGTACTTTGCTTTTGCTTTTGGTTTTGTTTTCCCTTTCTTCCAGTATAGCTTCACTCTTTCCTGAAAAACATCCACTTTAACAATGGAGCTGGGCAACAAGTCCATTTGGAGAATGGGGAATTGTCCACTGGCTACGATATCTTCAACTGGATGACTTTCCCCAATCAGTCCTTTCATAAGGTCAAGGTTGGCCAGATTTTACCAAGACAGAAGTTCAGCATCATTGATGATGCCATTGTATGGCACAACGGATTTAAGCAGGTAGGAAACCATTTAAGAGGAACAGGGAGAAGATATTGTATCTAGTTATAAAAGTTATAGGTAGCAAATGGTGTCAGCAACCACTAAATACCTGATGATGCTAGAATTGAGAATAAATTCAAAGAAGTTCCAAGTTCCTAGGGACCAATGTAATCTGAGGAATCTAATAGGAGAACAGGGTACAGCCAGTGCTGAAGTTATGTTTCTGGGCTTCCATATTGGAAAGCTACTGTGCTGTCCTGAATGGAACAATACTGGAACTTTCTCCCATCTGATCCCACAGAAGAACAGAGCACAGAATACAACTACCTGCAATTGGTGAGCAAGCCCATATAAGATTGAAGATTGTATAGGGGCACTAAGTTTGGTCTAGTGCATAGAAAAAATGGGATGCATCCAGCCTTCATTAAATTTTGAGTAAAGCTATTAAAATGAGGCTCAAGGTAATCATGACTAACTATATTCCCATTAAATTTTGTACATCACCTGCAACAAAATCTAGATCAGTCCCTTTGTTTCTACCCTTCTTCCTCTTTTTGTGAATAGGTGCCACCTCGTTCCAGATGTGTTGAGAGCTGCCACCATGGACAGAAGAAGATAATCCAGGAGGAAAAACCAGTGTGTTGCTATGATTGCACTTCATGCCCAGAAGACACGTATTCCAACCAAATGGGTATGTGACTGGGTACACTAGAGAGTTCCCAGCACATTCAGTTCTGCGAAGTGTTCAGGGAAGAACTGCATCCTGCAAGTGGTTGCACGCTGACTTGTTCGTCCCCTGCACACATTCCTCTAGTTTTAAGAGAAATTTCTCATTGGAAAAGGGGCTTGTGATGAGGCTCCATGGAATCCATCCCTCTAACAGTAGTGGATAGCCTTTTCTTAGAAGGTGAGATGGGATACGATGGTGTCCACAAACGCCCACAGTAGCCTGGCTGTGCAAACAACCTGCTTCAGCATCACATGCTGCATCATGTGCAGCACAAACTGTATGTGACTCTGAAAAGAGAAGCTGCTCATGCAGCACTCATGCGGGGCTGGATTCCTGCTGATGGCCATGCAGATGCTCAGCAAGAATTCAGGCCCATGGCCATGGCAGAGTGGAACATGGTTTAGAGAGCTGAACCCAGGAAATCAAATGAATTCCCACTGCCTAATAGGATGCTATGCACATCCCTATGCAAAATGCTCTCAGAACACTGCATTTCCCATCTTAACTGGGGCAAGAGTTATTCTTTAAAAAGAAGGTTGGTAAATTCTTATTAAAATAAATTTAATCATTCAAAATAAAATCCTTATCGATTTTAATTTGCCAAAGATGAATGGAATATGTATTCCTATTATACTACTAAAGGGGACCATGTTGAAAGCACCTATAAGCTATCTTGATGTTGATACTAAATTATCAATATTTAAAGAGATCCTTGGCTATATATAGTTGATGATTTTAGTGAATCATAGTTATAAATAGGAATTTGGTGGACAGACTATCAGGTACAGAATTATTTTATGATGTTGTTTTAAATCTGTTAAACAAGCATTAAATAGAGGATTATATTGTATATTGTTGTCATAGGTTTAGGTGACTTTCATGCCTTACTTTGTTGTAAATTGAGGAAAGAGCTTTGGCTACAGATGGTGGAGAAATGAAATAGTTATACATGCAGGAAAGCTGTGTGGGGATGACAGCCTAAGAGATAATACATAAAAAATGTCCGCAATGCTGGTCCAGCATTAATTATGCCTAATGTTCCCTCCCCTCCCCTCCCCTCCCCTCCCTTCCCTTCCCTTCCCTTCCCTTCCCTTCCCTTCCCTTCCCTTCCCTTCCCTTTGCTTCCAAAAACAGAAATCAAAATCCTTTAAGCATGACCGAACGCTCACACAGTTTTCCATTTTCAGATGCAGCTTATTGTGTCCCATGTCTGGAGGATCAGTACCCAAATGAGAACCACGACCAGTGCATCCCTAAGATTGTATCTTTCCTTTCCTATCAAGAGCCCTTGGGGATGGTTATGCTTTCTCTTGCTCTCTTCTTTGTGGTAACTACATGTTTCATCATG